CCTCGAACTCACAGAGATCCACCTGGCTCTGCCTCCCGAGTGCTGGGATTAAAGGCTTGCGCCACCACCGCCCGGCGGTTTTCACTTATTTTTTAAGTCAGGGTCTGTCTTTGAACTGAGCACTGCTTACTGATCCAACTAGACTGGCTGTCCGGCAAGTACCCGGGATCCTTCTGCCTCCACCTTCCTAGAGCTGGGGCTACAGATGTGGGCCACTTTACCTGTAACCTTGATGTTTACATGTAGGTGATGGGATTGAACTCAAGGCCTCACTCGCTGCTGCCGCCGTCGTCATCATCATCATTTAACAAGATCAGATTTTTTTCTTCTCATAATTCCCTGAACAAGGCCGGGCGGTGGTGGCGCAAGCCTTTAATCCCAGCACTCGGGAGGCAGAGCCAGGCGGATCTTTGTGAGTTCGAGGCCAGCCTGGGCTGCCAAGTGAGTTCCAGGAAAGGCGCAAAGCTACACAGAGAAACCCTGTCTCGAAAAAACCAAAAAAAAAAAAATATATATATATATATATATATTTATATTTTATATATATATAAATATGTATATATATAAAATATATATATTTCCCTGAACAAAACAAGTAGTAGTCTTTTGGTTCAGGATCGCTTTGGCTCTCTGTACCCTTTTGTGCTTCCAGATGGATTTTAAGTTTTGTTCTATTTCTCTGAAGAAAAGTGTAGGAATTTTGAGTAGGATTACATTGAGCCTGTAGATAGATTTTGGTAGGAGAGCTGTTTTCACAGTATTGATTCTTGTGCATGAGCATGGGAAATCTTTCCATCCTGTACTGTCTTCCTCAATTTCTTTCTTCAGAGTTTTTAAGTCTTATTGTTAAAATATTTTACTTCCTTGAGTAGGTTTATTCAGAGATTATTTGTGTATTCATTCCCCATGCTCCAGCCCCTCAGAGGTCAGGATATGGAGGAAGAACTTAGTGAGGACACTCCATCAGCACAGTGTACCACAGCTCAGAACTGGATTCAAACGACCCTCCTGCCTCAGTCTCTTGAGTAGCTTGGGAAATAGCATGAGTTATGACACCTGGCATTTCCTTTTTTTTTTTTTTGTTATTTGTTTTTCGAGATGGGGTTTCTCTGTGTAGTTTTGGTGCCTGTCCTGGATTTCACTCTGTAGACCAGACTGGCCTTGAACTCACAGAGATCCACCTGCCTCTGCCTCTGGCACTTACTTTTAAAAATGACTTTTTAATTTTTTTGTGTGTATGAGTGTGTGTGTGTATATATGTGTGAGGGTGCTCATGTGCCATGGCAGGCAAGGGGAGGTCAGAGGACATCCCTCCAGGTTGTAAATTTTTTAAAATTCAGGATTGTTTTGGTTTCCTTGGATCTTTGTATTCCCATATGAAATTTAGATTTTTTAAAATTTATGTGAAGAATTGCATTGGCATTTTGATGTGAATCACATTGAATCTATAGATTGCTTTTGGTGGGGTGGCCATTTTCACAGTATTAATCCAGCCAATCTATGGGCATAGGAAGTACAGTGGTTTGAATAAGATGTGCCCTGTAAAAGTTAACTCTCTGCCTCTTGCTTGTGGTTGTTTGAGATATTAGCTCTCAGCTGCTGCTCCACTTGCCTACTACCTGTTACCTCCACTCAGTCATTATGGACTCCAAGCCTCTGAAACCCTAAGTCCCCAAATTAATTTATCTATAAGTTGCATTGGTCATAGTGTCTTATCACAGCAACAGAAAATTAATACAGAAGGTCTTTCCATCTCCTGGTGTCAATTTCTTTTCTTTCTTTCTTTTTTTTTTTTTTTTTTTTTTTTTTTTGGTTTTCCGAGACAGGGTTTCTCTGTGTAGCTTTGCGCCTGTCCTGGAACTCACTTGGTAGCCCAGGCTGGCCTCGAACTCACAGAGATCCGCCTGGCTCTGCCTCCCGAGTGCTGGGATTAAAGGCGTGCGCCACCACCGCCCGGCTCTTTCTTTTTTTTTGTTGTTGTTGTTGTTGTTCTTCTTTCTTCTTCTTCTTCTTCTTCTTCTTCTTCTTCTTCTTCTTCTTCTTCTTCTTCTTCTTCTTCCTTCTTTCTTCTTTCTTCTTCTTCTTGACAGGGTTTCTCTGTGTAACAGCCCTGGCTATCCTGAAACTTGATTTGTAGCCCAGGCTGGCCTCAAAACTCATGGGAGATCGGCCTGCCTCTGCCCCCAGAGTGCTGGGATTAAAGGCGTGCGCCACCCCCCAACCTGACATGATTTACTTCTTGATTTCTTCCTTGACCCAGTCATCATTAAGTAGCGTGTTTAGTTTCCGTGAGTTTGTGTACTTTCTGTGCTTTCTATTGCTGTTGGTATCTGTGCAGACTTACTCTATGGTGGTCGAATAGAACGAAGAATGTCAGGTCAATTTTCCTCTGATTTGTTCACACTTGCCTTGTGTCCTGACGTGTGATTGACTGGGGGGTACATTTCCGTGGGCTTCTGAGAATGTGTGCTCTTTAGTGTTTGGGTAGAACATTCTGCAGATACCTGTAGATCCATTTGATTTATGATGACATTTAACTCCACAATTTCTCTGTTTGGTCTTTTCTGGATGACTGGCCAATTAGAGCAAGTGGAGTATTGAAATCACCCACTATCTTTGAGATGTCAGTGAAGTAGTATTGAAATCACCCACTATCTTTGAGATGTCAGTGAAGTAGTATTGAAATCACCCACTATCTTTGAGATGTCAGTGAAGTAGTATTGAAATCACCCACTTTCTTTGTGATGTCAGTGAAGTAGTATTGAAATCACCCACTTTCTTTGTGATGTCAGTGAAGTAGTATTGAAATCACCCACTTTCTTTGTGTTGGGGTCAATCTGTGTTTTTTTTTTTTTTAGCCTTTTGGACTCAGGTCTCTTGTCTTTGTTATGATTTATGGTGTTAGGCCTGTATTGGACAAGTGTCCAGTGTCCAGTAGAGCTGTTTGTAGTTTTTGGTAACTCCGTTTCTTTAGTACCAGGAGTGCTGCTGGGCATAGTTTTGTTTGTGGGCTGGGTAGGTTCTCCTATTCCCCCATCACCTAGCTCATACCTCCATGGTAGCTAACGTTCTAGCTACATAGTGCCCCCCCCCCCCCCCCCCCGCCCCCCAAGTGTCCTGATGAGAGTGGAGGCGGCGAAAACAGCATGGCATCTGTACAGGGCCTTTCTTCAGATCTGCAAACCTTGCGAGGTATTACCACCTTGCTAGCTGCGGCTGTGACTGTTAAACAGTCTTCTGGAGCTTCATAGTGCTTGGACTCCACAGCACTGAATGGCAGGTAGGTGGCTTCAGGGGTTGATGGCGTCTGCTGACCTCGGGTTCAGGGTGGTCAGACTTCACTCTCAGTTGAGGTCTGCTCCTGGTCACCTAGGGCACGGCTACCTTTCCCTAGTCACTTCACTGCCTGACCTAACTTCATGCTACCTGCACTTTGGGACTTGCAAGCATCTGGCCACCTTGCTCTCCATAGTGCCTCCTTGGTTTGTTTTTCAACCTGGGGCTGTGGGAGGTTAAATCCAGGCTCCCACACTGTGGGTTTATTTTTTTCTGGACTCTATAATAGCCCAGTTTTAAACAATAGGTTCCTTTCCCAGGTGGTGCCTGGCCACTGTCCTCCAAGTTATATACATTGACAAAATGGGATTGCTGTCACTGGCCTGCCCCTCAGTGGAATCACTAGCTTATCAAAACATGCAAATGAACGGTATTTTTCGGTTGTCATGTCACTCCTTTGTGAATTTCCTTAGGTTTCTCTCTTTGTAATAATCTCTTCTCCCCCTTCATCCTGTCTCCTTCACCAGATCACAGAGGCAGCTTCTGGTCTGCCATCTCACCTAGAATTCACATTCTTTCCTTCCTTCTCTTCCTCTTTCATGCTGGTGACCAAACCCTGGGCCTCGTGCATACACAGAAACACTCTAACAACTGAGTTTGTCCCCAAACCTCTTACTACTATAAAATTTTTTTTTATTTTATGTATGGCTTATTTGCTCACATGCATGTAAGTGCACTCTGCATACCTGATACCCATGAAGCCAGGAAGAGAGCATCAGATCTCCTGGAACTGGAGTTACAGACACAAGACCTCTTAACCGCTGAACCATCTCTCCAGCCCCTTCCTTTGGGTTTTTATTGAAAGCACTTGAATGCTTGAATGCATACAAAATAAATAAATGTATTAATTTTTAAATTAGATTTATTAATTTTATGTGCTTTGCTGCATGTATGTATGTGTATTGTTGGTGTCCATGGAGATCGGAATATGGCATTGGATACCCTGTAACTGGTGTCACAGATGGTTGTGAGCCACCATGTGGGTGCTGGGAACTGAACTTTGGTCTTTTGCAAGAGCAACAGGTGCTCTTAACTGCTGAGCCATCTATCCAGCACCAACTTTTTGGTTTTTCGAGACAGGGTTTCTCTGTGTGTAGTTCTGGCTGTCCTGGAACTCACTTTGTAGACCAGGCTGGCCTCGAACTCACAGAGATCCACCTGCCTCTGCCTCTTGAGTACACCACCACCACCTGGCAACCAACTTTTTTTTTTTTTCAAGAGATAGCTAGTAGAGATATCCTGAGTGATTTGTTAGTATGTGCCATTAACAAAAAATTGTTATCTAAGTTGTGAACTTGATAGTAAAATTCCTCTCTTCTCCTTGATGTGTCTAGGATTTTAACTTTGGAATTTTAAGTAAAGCAGAGCTAGAGAGCTGCTCTACTTTTGGGGAGTTGGTTCCCCAAAGCCAGAGAAACATCCCATATTCACTGGAGGGTGAGTTCTGGCTGGCTATACATAGCAGTTTCTCCCAGAGAAACTAGAAAAAGCCAGGTGTGATGAGGACAGGTAGAAAGGTCATAACCTCAAGGGCAGCCTGGGCTGCACAGCCCATCTCCAAAGAAAAGGCACATTAACACACAGCAGAGAGGAAGAGATAAGGGCAGGAGCTTAAAATGAATGGAATAGCAAGTGGACAACAGAGAAAATGCAGAACTACAACCTGGCTACAGAAGAGAACATGTATTCACAGAATGAAGGGAATGTCCCACAAGGGATCATTGGTGTCACGGCTTTCCCATCATGCTTCATTCCCATCCTTCATTTTATTAAGCCTGAAAACCAAATTTATCTTTGGCCTGAAAGATTCTTGGCCTGAAACCAAATGGATCTTTCTTTTCCTTATCTTCTGTGTGAGTTGCATAAACCGAGCCCGCTTCTGTACGGGCACAGTGCCCACCCACCCATCTTCCAGCCTGGAAGTTTTTGCTGAGCTCTCACTTGCTGATGTCCTCTTGTTCTCATGACTGCTGTGGTCTTTAAATAAACGGTCCCTAGTGTTTTAGCACTGTCCTGCAAATTAGACCTGTTCAACAAAGGCATGGCATCAGTACTTTCTCCAGCAGCAAGTTTTAACTTATCAAGTCTTTAACAAGATGTTTCTGCAGCCTCTGCTGATTGGCTGCCACATGTTCCTCATGTACCAGCTTTCTCCAGTTCTGCCTCAGAACTTCTGCCGGATCACCTGTTCTCAGTAGCACTCAATGCTAGCTTTACTCTCCCAACTACTTTGGATATGTTGTTTTGGGGATTTCTCCCTTGTTTTTACTATGGAAGTATCCCCCAAAAACTAACTTCACTGTGTAAAAACATTATTTACATTTCTGAAGAGCTGCCTGAAGAGGGGCTGACTGAACTTCCTCTCACAGTAGTATATGGAGAAGCATTTCCTGTAGTGTGGCCATAAACTGATGTACATTTTTGTATTAAACACAACAGATCTCCATGTCCATTATACCTTCAAGTTCCCCATCCCACCTTCCAATGGACAGTTTAGAGAGGGCTATTTAGGACTTAAAAGGAGTATGAAAAACTAGGCACATAATTTGAAAGGAAATGTGAATTCAATTTCTCAGAGAATATGAACAAGGGAAACATACTGTGCTTGGAAAAATACAAAGTTCTTTCAGTTAAAATTGTGGAATATACTTCTAACAACACTAGCAGAATTGCAGTGTACACTCTACCCATCTGAGAAACCAGAATCATCCATTCATTGTAGAACATGAAATGTGCTGGGTGCTCAGATACTTTTAATGAAGGATTGATTTTTTTTTTTCCTGTGAGGGATTACATCTGAATAACCCTTACTATCTCTGTCTTTCGAGGAATACAAGGTAAGAGTCAAAAGCATTCAAGCCGGGGCATGGGGAGATAGCTCAGTCAGTAAAGCTCTTGTCCTGCAAGCCTGAGACGGAATCCACAGACAAAAGTTGGGTGTGGTATCACAACGCGTAATCCTAGCCAGGGTGAGCTGAGAAGTGGGACAGGTAGATCCATGGAACTCGCTGCCTAGCTTACTCAGTGACATTCCATACCACAAGTGACCGACCCCAGTCTCAAACGAAAAGGTGACAAGCATCTGAGCACCTCAGATGTCCTCTGACCTCCACAAACATGTGCAGACATGCATGCACATACCTGCACAGCACGCGTAATCCTCTCTACATGAACACACACACTCCTTCAAGTACAAAGTATTAAGCTGGAAGTTTTGTGGGGTGGGTACTGGAACTCAAACCCAGGGCTTTATCCATGCAAGGCAAGCACTCGACCACTGATCCGTGCCCTCGGCCATGAAACATTTATCTTCACAATAAAAGTATCCTGAACCCCTGAGCGGACTCATTACTCAGTGAAGGTCCTTCCTGTGAACCCGCTGGTGGATGTGCAGGTTGGAGCTCTGGCTGAAGCTCTTCCCACACTTGCTGCACTCATAGGGCTTCTCTCCGGTGTGCACTCGCTGATGAATGAGGAGTTTGGAGCTCTGGCTGAAGCCCTTCCCGCACTTGCCACAGTGGTAGGGCTTTTCCCCAGTGTGCACTCTGAGGTGGATTCGAAGGTCTGAGCTCTGGCTGAAGCCTTTCCCACATTCACAGCACTGGTAGGGTTTCTCTCCCGTGTGGACGCACCGGTGGATGTGGAGGTTAGAGCTCTGGCTGAAGCCCTTCCCACATTCCCCACACTTGTAGGGCCTCTCTCCCGTGTGGACACGCTGGTGGATGTGCAGGTTTGACCGCTGACTGAAGCTCATGCCACACTGCTCACACTCGTACGGCTTCTCCCCGGTGTGGACTCTCTGGTGGATGTGCAGCTTGGAGCTCTGGCTGAAGCCCTTCCCGCACCTGTCACACTTGTACGGTTTCTCACCTGTGTGGACAGCGTGATGGACGAGCAGACTTGAGCTCCTGGTGAAGCCCTTCCCACACCTGTCACACTTGAAAGGTTTCCCATCCATGGGGACCGCTGGATGGGCAGCAGACAGGCTCCTGGCGAAGCCTGTCCCACAAGGCTCACACCCACAGGCTTTTCCTTTCAGGCGGTCTCTCTGATGAAGCATTAGTTCTGAGTTCTGAAGTTCTCACCACACTGACCACATCTGTATAGTTTGTCTGAAGCGGAGGGGGGTTTCTTGAGCTGACCGTCTGGGTTGTGATAAGCGCCTTCCCGGAGTCATTACAGTTACAGGTTCCTTTGTGTGGTTTCTCTGAAGACTGCAGGTGACTAATGGTGGCTTCCATCTACAAATGTCTTTACTTCACAGTCAGAGGGAACTAAGGAGCCTTTGAACTGGACATTTTGGCAAGTTGTCTCACTAGGGGACAACAGAGGTACCGGTTGGTTCTGTTACATCAGATGTGAGTTTAACTTGAAGATTCTCTGAACAGTGGTCTATGGGGTGACACTCCCCGCTTATTCCTTTTCTCGGTTCTTTCTTCAGGTAGGAAGAGAACTTTTTTCCTCAGAGGCTTCTTACACAACTTCACAGAGGAGACCTGTCTGGCCATTTGGCTTGGAACTTCAAAGATAAATATTTTTTCACTTTCAGTGTTTGTGAAATCACTGACAGGAATCTATTTCCACATCTGTATGTACTTCTTGAAGATTCACAGTATAAATTCAACTTCCAGGTACTGACTGGCCATCTCTTCCAAAATTAGTCACTAGGAAAACTACTACGGTAAATCTGAAGTCTTCTCTCTTTCTAAATATTTTCATTTCATGTGTATAAGTGTTTTGCCTGCATGTATGTCTGTGTACCACATGCCGGCCCGGTACTTATGGAGGTCGGAAGAGGGCATTCATTGGATCTCCTAGAACTGGAGTTATGGATAGTTGTGAGCCACCATGTGGGTGCTGGGAACTGAACTTGCAAGGGCCACAGGTACTCTTGGTCTCTGAGCCATCTCTCCAGCCCCGTGCAGGCCTTTCTCTTGAAGATTCTCCACAGAATTTGTGTTTGACTCTCCTAGAAAACAGAGAATTTAGTGATAAGAGGAAAGGATTCTAGAACAGGAGGATCTCAGGCCTGAACATTTGGTAACTCGAAAATTTAGTGTGCTCGCTTTCTTGTTCCGTCTCCTCCTCCTCTCCCTCTCTCTCTCTCTCTCTCTCTCTCTCTCTCTCTCTCTCTCTCTCTCTCTCTCTCTCTCGCCTGGGATTGAACCAAGGATCTCAGGCATGCTAGTCAAATACTCCAGCACTGTATTGTACTATAGCCTCAGTCCTTAGTGTGTGCTTATAGTTATATCTTTTGGGTTACCATCGGGAGAGGGAAACTGGGTTCAGAAGACAGGCATTTTGCTGGGCAGTGGTGGCACGTGCCTTTAATCCTAGCACTTGAGAAGTAGAGGTAAGTGGATCTCTGTGAGTTTGAGGCCAGCCTGGTCTACAGAGTGAGTTCCAGGATAGCCAGGGCTGTTCACAGAGAAACCCTGTCTCGAAAAACCAAAAAAAAAAAAAAAAAAAAAAGGATAGGCATTTCTTCCCTGCTTTTGAGCAGAGCTGATAAGATATTCTTTTACTCTTCTTGTGAAAGACCAGAGTCCTGTACCTTTCCAAAAGTATCATTCCATTTCACTTATTTTTGACTAAATGTCCATTTAATCAGTATACTACTTTCATAACTGTTAGAGCTATAAGAAACAAAATGGAAATCTTTTTGCCTGACAAGCTAGTTCTTGGATGAAAGACAAATACATCAGCAATGATAATACCAAATTAAAGCCTATAACATATATAATACAATATACTATAAGCCAACCAGCTGTGGGAGCAGACTGCGGGTACTAAAACTCAAACTTTCATGCCTTAAGAATTCTGAAAAGAAGAAAAAAAGGAAAAAAGTACAGTAGGGAAAGAAAATATGACCCATTCAGTGTAAGTGTTACAGCTCAGATGGAAGGTATCCTGGCAGCCGGGAGCCAAGGAATACAAGTCACACCACACAACAAACCTCACACAAGAGGTTTATTGGAAGGGAAAAAACAGGAGGGTGGCTGCCTCTGCTGGGTGAGAAACAGCAGGGAACTGAGTAGGAGACAGTGTTTACACAGTTTTTTGAGGGGGCGATGTGTGTGGAACTTTCCAGGGTGAAGCTTTTCAGGATGGGGATCGGTGCGATTTCAAGTCCAGAGCTTGGGCTTTTTACTACGTAGGGTGCAGGCTGGGTCTAGCTGTTAGGGCAGTTAGAGGGTTCTGTGGGTGGAACCTGGCAGTTGGAGGTCCTCGGGAGAGGGGCCTGGCTACTAGTGTGTCTCAAGGGGCTTTATTTAGGAAAATGGAAAGCAGCTTCTTGTAAGGAGCAGCAGCCCCCAAACCTCCAGCACTCCTCTGAGATGACAGTTGGCTTTCTTTAGAGGTCATGGTCCTTGAGCCACACCAAACTTATTCTCCAGACTAGCTGTGTAGTAGAATACTATTTTAAAGTGTGTTACTTTTGTTTATGTTGCATTTGTTTAGCTCTGTGAAGCTGTGTTACTGTGCCTGTCTAAAACACCTGATGGTCTAACAAAGAACTGAACGGCCAATGGCAAGGTAGGAGAAAGGATAGGCGGGGTTGGCAGGCAGGCAGGCAGGCAGAGTATATATAGAAGGAGAAAACTGGGAGGAGAGATCTAGGAGCCAGAGAAGGAAGGAGGAGGACTCCAAGGGCCAGCCACTTAGCTACACAGTAAGAGTAAGAAGTAAGAGAATGGGAAAAGCCCAGAGGCAAAAGGTAGACAGGATAAGTTAAAAAAAGCTGGCTAGAAACTAAGCCATGCTAAGGCCGGGCAATTATAATTAAGAATAATTCTCTGTGTGTGATTTATTGGGGAGCTGGGTGGTGGACCCCCCAAAAGAGAAGAGTTAAAAAACAACCAACAGGGGCTGGAGAGATGGCTCAGAGGTTAAGAGCACTGCTTGTTCTTCCAAAGGTCCTGAGTTCAATTCCCAGCAACCACATGGTGGCTCACAACCATCTGTAATGAGATCTGGCGCCCTCTTCTGGCCTGCAGGGATATGTGCAGACAGAACACTGTATACATAAAATAAATAAATAAAATCTAAAAAAAAACAAAAACAAAAAACAACCAACATAGCTGTTTCTGTCCAGAATGTTCTTTTTCCACATCTCACACCTGGCTCCTTGTCATGCAGGTCTCAGCCGAGCTGCTGCCTTCCAGATGTGCTCTCTTGACCATCAAATCAGAATGCACTCACTACCACTTCTCTGGGTTTAATTTCTTCATACTCTTTATATGACTTAGCTCATCTTCTCTCTTCACGTTCTTGCATTCACTCCATCCCCATTAAAGTTCCCCAGCACAGAGAGGCTGACATTTATTCCCCAAGGCCTCAAGCAGGACCTGGCACACAAAAGGAGTCCAATTATTTAATCATTACATTTCATGAGTCTCCCCTCCAGGCTTTTGTCTGATGGAGCAATAGTTCTCAAACCACCTGCTGTGAAGCACCATTTTGTTGTTTAATAAACATTTACCCTCAGTTTCTATTGCTTATGCCTTCATGGCTGGTACTAGCCAACAAGCCACACTTTGTTAAGAATGACAGGCACTAAATGGAGCCCTAAGTTCAGTCATGTGTCAGGGAAGTGCTCAACAGCTATGGCTTCAGAGGGCAGGGCTGTCTTATAACCTGGATTAGCTAAGACAGTTCTCACCTGAGGCTGAGGCGGCAACCCAGGAAACAGAACGGGCTGCAGGAGATGTGGCTCACGGACTACTGTGGGAAAGTGGACTAATATCCTAAGCCAAGTATAGAGGAAGGTCAGGATAGGAGTCTCATATTCCTACTGGACAAATACCAAAGTGTTTGGAGCTACAGATGGTCGTCGTAGGACCTTCGACTTCCATGTCCGAGTCTCTCCTACCATATCTAGCAATTCACTTAGGGGTGGGAAACGGTAATGCAACGGTTAGCAAACATGACGACGTCATACCTGGAGTCATCTAAAGACGGCACAGTCTACCAGAGTTCTTTCCACGTTGCCTCTGCTCATTCATTCATTTCTCTCCACTCCAGAACTTCCAGCCTCAGACCAATTCACAAGTCCCCTCCCGAAGCATCAGGATGCACCAGGGACTTCTTCCTTGGCGACATCATAGCATCTCTGCCATACCTTTATTATGACTGGCTGTACAGTTCCAAATGACAGGGGCCTGCTCAACTAAGCTGTAAGTGCCCAGTAACTAGCACAACTGACTTGGAATCTAGTTGACGAATATTCCGTTTAAATAATAAGGAGATGATACCACTGAAAGAGAACCTAAAAATCATCCCAGCCCCTGCCTCATTTTACAGACGAGGAAAGCAAAGTCCATGATACAGAAAAGGAGGAGGTCACACTGCAAAACTGAAGGAGGGTAAACTGAAAGCCTTTCAGCAGACGTCAAGGACAAACTCTCGTACACAGAAAAGCACTGGGAAAGTAAAGCCCTTAAATTAAAAAGAAATGCATAGAGTCTTATTATATAGCCCAGACTGGCCTTGAACTTGGGAGTATCCTGCCATCTCCATGCTGGGATGATAGACGTATGCTGCCACTCCTGGATGGCCTACTTACTTATGAGGAATGGCCTGGATCTGCTGCTCTCTGCAACAAAAAACACACGGCCCTTCCCTCCAGCTCAAAGTCACAGTTTCTCAGTGTCATAAAAATGTTAGCATCAGAGCAAAGCAGGGGTTCCGTCCACTCAAGCACTCTATGGTGCTAAGCCTCAAGCCTGAGGTAACTTTCTACGTGTAGTTTTGTGGAGATGGCGAGAAGCTGTTATTTCTGTGTACATACGTGTGTTTGTGTCTGTGAGTGGAGGGTGCCATATATATATATATATATATATATATATATATATATATATATATATATTTTTTTTTTTTTTTTTTTTTTTTGACATAGAGTCTTCACGGGCACTGGAGCTTGCTGGTAGACTGGTGGGCCAGCAATCACCAGGGACACTGTCTTTGCCTGTCCTGCACTCGGATTCCAGGTGTGCACACTGCTCTGCCTGTCTCCCCCCATGGGTTCTGGAGGCTCAAACGTGGGTGTTCACGCTTGCCCAGCAGGTGCCTTACTAACCCAGCCATCTCCCCAGTCCAAGAAAACGAGGGGAAAAAATGTTACTGCTATTTGGCAATCTTTCTTCCATTCACTCCAGATAGGGTATCACTACATAGCCCTGCCTGGCCTGGAACTCATGAAGATCCTTAGCCCTGCCTAAGCTTCCCAAGTGCTGGGATTAAAGGAGTGTGCCACCCACCACATCTGGCAACTGTTTGGCAATTTTATTGTAATTAAATACGCAGACATACGGTGAAAGGGAACAGTGAAAATAGAGCATAAAAGATCTAGTTAGGCCGGGTGGTAGTGGCGCACGCTTTTAATCCCAGCATGCCGGAGGCAGAGGCAGGCGGATCTCTGTGAGTTCGAGGCCAGCCTGGGCTACAGAGTGAGTTCCAGGAAAGGCGCCAAAGCTACACAAAGAAATCCTATCTTGAACCCCCCCTCCCCCCCCCCAAAAAAA